GCAGTATATTACTGTCCTAATTATTTGGTTTGCTTGACTCTGAACGGAGGTTTTTTGTTTCAAAAAAAAATTATAGATAATTTTAGAAAGCTAAATTTCATCGGACAACCCACTTGTTCGATTGCCCAACCCTGATGGACAACACTACCACGGGTACTATTCAAATTAAAAAATGAAATTCTTGGATAAACCCCCGGGTATGCAGTAGTATATTAAAATTTTTTATTGATTTGATTGGTCAACAATCACGTTTTGATCAACATACCAACAAATATCACAGTTTTTTTGATAATATTGGGAATAAATAGAATAATTGATGCTCTTGTAATAAAAATTTATAATTTGATAGTGGAAGTATTTCCCGTCCCTGGTTACAGATTTATTAACGTTAACTATTTTTATATGTAATAACGATAATTATATTAGAACTGGATGCAGTGAAACCGCGCTGTAAATTAGTAAAATCTGTTACGTAGATCATGTTAGGGTGAAATTCGTGTTTAGCTCTGTTTTTTATTATGCATGTGATCTACGTAGAGGATTTTACCCAAAAATTTAACAAATGATTTTGTGCAAAGTACAAAAGTATAAAGTTTGTGCTCTGGCATGCCACTGAACCACATGATAATTATACTCCAATTGGATTGGTCAGTGGAGTTGCATTTGGATGCTTTCTCAAAATTTTTACTTTCTTCTATTCGAACATTTCTGCTCTTCCTATTGACTATTGGCATGCCATGGAAATTTAAAATAGATGCATCATTGATGAAATTTCATAGAATATTCTGATCTGCATGACATCTCGTGTAACTGCTGATGGTAACACCGGATAATCGGATGAAGATTTCCAATCTCTATCGCTATTGTAAAAAACCAAAGGCGTTTATCATTATGACTACTGCTTAAATACTGGAAAATGGTTATTGTGCTCATTTTTGTGATTTATTGTTCCTGATCCAGCCAGAGTTGAACCAGGGGGTGGATACAAATATGTGAAACATATAGCTTTTTTTAATCTGACGTTTTAGTTGTCCAAACCGGGCAATATTAACAAAGTCACTGAATCATACACTGAATCATATGGGTGATCAAGAGGAAAACTGGAACAGTTACTTTTTGATTTTGGCTAAAAATAAAACATGGAATTATTGATCAGATGATTTATTTCATACGATGCAGTTTCAAGTGTAGTATCGGAAAAAATGATCCGAATTTAAAGATTACAATACAGTACTGTATTTAGTTTATGCATATACGACGTACCAGATACTGATACGTACAGTACGTACATATATGTACCTATTTTTATGTATAAACAGTCATCTGTTATTGTAGTCGCTTGTTCTCTTTATATAAAAATCTTTCGACGTTTCTACTCTTTCATTTTTGTAAACTTTCTATAAACGTCGATTCTATACCCAATAATTAATCAACAATTTATTAATCCGTAGAATACACGTCTATATTCCGAACTTTATAAAATTTTTATTTATTACCAAAGATCCACTTTATTAACAACGAATGGCCCAAGTCTCAGGTACTTTTCTGTGCCTCCATCTGTTGACTTACCGAGTTTCTACCTCTCACTTTTTTTCATCTTCAGAGCCACCTTACCAAACCGAAATATATATGCGTAGGAATTCTAATGATTTCGATGAATACCTCCAGTGAGTGTCATGTGATATCATTACTTAAAGCTCCTCTCTAAACTTTATGTTAAGGTGGGCTAAATACTTGTAAGAGTTTGAAAACATAGATACTTCCGATTTGGCTACTACCAATTATTTATATAATATCCATAAATACTTTCATTTCACCGGTATCTAGCTTGTCTTATCGAGATATTTTAAAGTTTTTATTCTGATCTGTTTTTTATAACCTTCTTTGTTCTTTTCATGTTGTTATTAATTTATTAGAGATCCTGAACAAGAATTGTTAAATAATGATACTTCCTTACCAAACGGTTTACGGAGATTACGAGAAGATTGGCCTCCAAAAAAAAATAACCCCAAAAAAATTAATCATCTTGAAATTGCCCGGTTTTCAACAGAATCGTTACATAGTTATAATTTTGTCTCAAGCGATGCTTCAATGTACGAAAATAGGCAAAATATTCTTCGTCGCTCCATTGATTTCATGAAAAGCAAAATAAAAGGATGGAAAATTTTAGATGTGCATCAGGTTCTATTTTCACTCGTGGAACCTGCAACTGGCTCATCTACGGATATTGTTCTTCCTCAAGAGGAAACCGATGCTGATGAGTCACGTTCACCTCGAAAACCTAAAGGAACATTAGGTTCATTTTCAGATATCCCGGCATTATACCAACCTATAAATTCGTCATCTACTTTACATTCCCCTACAAGGTTCACACCACAAAATCAAGCTATTATTACTACAGATTATCAGGGAAATATATTAAATGCCAACGACATTGCTTGCTTGATATTCAGTTATTCACGAGCTGAAATATCAACCATAAAGGCATTTGACCTGATTGCCAGCCCTTATAGGGAAAAGCAAGAAAAATCTCTTGCTTTAAGACCTCAAAATAATCATGATAGTTGTGAAGCTGTGTTAGCTTGCGGTAAAGTAGTACGTATTATTTCAACATATTAAACACATTAAAGTAAATTAAATAATTTTAATAAATCGATCAATAATTTAATATTTATAGATTCCGATTCAGAGGAAGAATAAGGAAACATCTGCTGCTTCTTTATGGCTCAAAGCCAAAAAAGATGATATAGGAAATTCCATTTTCATTTGGATATTTGAAGAGATTGTTGAATCCATGATGATTGCTGAAATAGATGATAAGGGTATAATACATAGTTCATCTGGTGACGTAAAAGCCTTGTATGGTTACACTCCCGAAGAAATTATTGGAATGCGCGTGACCACCTTAATCCCCTCATTGGAAGTTATCCCTGCAGATGATAATGATAAGAATGATATGGATATTGACAATGGAAGTGTTTTGAATTCACCCAATACACAATTGGATATCGAACAAATAAATAAAACCAAGTATTATGGAAGTCGGTCAAAAAATTGTGCAAAGTTTCCAATCATCGGAAAAATATCGACTCAATCAGTTCGGGAAGCAATGCAAGATCAAGGATCTACCATATACCGACTTAAAATTATATCTATGCCTACTATTGCTGGTGTTATAACTGCACATGCAACTGGTATCATTCAGTCATGTAATTCTGTCTTTGTCAAATACCTATTTGGTGTGGGATCTCAAGAGTTAGTCGGAAAACGTTGTATTGAGTCACTTTTACCTCAATTTCCTCGTCTTCTTGGTGTACTTACATCAGAACGATCTCTTGTTGAAGGGGTTTTAATTTCAGAGAATGCCTTTAGACGTGCGGCTGCATCTATCTCTTCTACATCAGCAGATAAGTTTCTTTATTCTCATACAAAGGACTTTTCTTCTGCTACTCCTCCTATACCGGGGCCTTCTGGTATAATAGCTATACACAGGGATGGTACTGAATTTGACGTAGATATTCAAATGCGTGTTGTTGAATCTCCTGATGAGCCATTGCATGCATTGTGGATTACTTATGATCGTAGTGCCAATTTCGCAAAAGAGCAAGCATATTTTGATCGTGTTGAAAATCATGAAAATCATGTGGAGAAGTTTGAAACTAGTAGGAATATAGAAGACGAAAAAATACAAGAGGAAAAGGAAAATTTTCATATATCTAAATTCATAGCAGCGGGAGGCAAACCTCCTTTATCTACACATCTTTCGTCTGATCGGCAAATAATTACACCTCCTGTGATGTCACCTGCACCCGAGCCTTTCGATCCAATGTCATATTCAGCAATAACATTGGCAAAGACAATTGATGATTTTGAAATATTAGATAACTTAGGTCAGGGTGCTTATGGCCAAGTCAAGTTAGCTTATAATAAAAATGATCTTGAAAAGGTATCAACCATTTATTTATGATCATACATTTGTGTTATGTATATGTGACTAACTAAAGTTTTTTATTTCAGAAAAGAGTAGTGCTCAAATATGTCGTGAAGTCACGAATACTTGTGGACTGTTGGACTCGTGATAAAGTACTTGGTACTGTCCCATTAGAGATTCATATCCTTCATACATTAAGACGATTTCCTCATCCAAATATTGTACAAATGGGTATGAATTAGTTTATATAGTTTAATTTTTCATTAATATTGATATTTACTGATTTTATATTTTTTTTACATATATTCTTTTCATGTATCTCTTTATATGTACTTTACATTTAGTGGACTTTTTTGAAGATGATGACTATTATTATATAGAAATGGGTTTGCATGGTGCTGGTATGGATCTCTTTGATTACATAGAACTGAACACTGCAATGGCTGAAGATGAGATAAAACTTATTTTCCGTCAAGTTGCACGTGCTATCCAGCATTTACATCATAGAAATATCGTCCATCGCGATATTAAGGACGAGAATGTGATACTCGACGAAAATGGGAATGTTCAATTGATTGATTTTGGATCTAGCGCATATATAAAAGCAGGTAAAAAGTATGATACTTTTTGTGGAACTATTGACTATGCTGCGCCTGAGGTAGGTTTATTTGAATTTCGGTTGGTCTGTATTTTGAGTTTATTTAAAATTTGGTGTATTTATTTTATCTTTGCATAGGTCTTGACCGGAAAAAAATATGATGGTCCACCACAAGACATTTGGGCTTTGGGTATTTTGTTATATACACTCATTTACAAGGAGAACCCGTTCTATAATATTGATGAAATTATTGCTAGAGATCTTAGAATTCCTTATATATTATCTGATGGTTCAATCGATCTTGTTAAGAAAATGCTTGATCGTGACGTAGATAAGCGTCCATCGATAGATGATGTCTTAAATCATCAGTGGTTGCGGGAGGAATGATTTTTTAAAACTGGATAGTTATTTTTAACGTTAGTATTCGAATTTATTATAGACTCTTAGATAAGATTGTATAGTATTAGAATTTGGATTATTATTTGATTTTTATTATATTAGTTTAAGTAAATCCATTTGTACACATTTAGAAGTCTTCTATCCGCTTTATGGAGTGCAGGCTTCAACATTTATGTAAAAGAAAAAAGGGATTATGTAAAATACCAAGAAGCAACTGATTAATTTGCATTTGATTTTATTAATCTATATTTTAAACCAATCGTAAAGGTGTCTCTTATACATGGTATTAAAAAAAAGAAAATAAAAGCTTGACATGAATAATGAAAACATGTCGCTAATTAAGAACATTAAGAACAATCTTTTACGGAAAATTAACTAGTATCGGTTTTAGCCCAATCATTTAACATAATCCCACGCTGAGATTCGGAAAAACGCCTTAATTGATCAGATAAATACTCTTTCCTTTCGTTCTCCCATCTCTGTTTGTCTATTGCAGCCCTTTCTTCCCAAGGTTTTCGTTCTTCAGTATCCATTGCTTTCCACTTATCATATATACACTTATTAAGATGAGATTCGGTAATTAATGAAGGATATTTATTCATACAGTCAGTCTTAACTTCAGCAAGAAAAAGTTCGTAAGCGGACATGTATAAAGCCGGAACTTTAAGACCATATCGACGATCATCGGGTTTATAAATCTTTTGTGGTATAATAGTTTCATCATAAGGGCTATGTATCTGATTGAGATTACGTGGTTGCAATGGTGATCGATGATTATTATTTCCATAACATTCTAATGGAATATTCTCTTTATCGCTAGATGCCAACTTTTCATTTTCAAACCTAAGTTCATCTTGTTGAGCTAAATGTCCCCATGGCGCGCGTTCCTCAAAAGTCATTGACTCCCAACGTTCACGAATTAACTTTGTGATAGTACCATAATTGTAATATGGATTTTCTGCGGTAATTCGGGGTCTCATATATTCAGAAAAATGAAGGAACGCAGGTGCGGGTGGTCTGGGCCACGAAGGTATAGGTGCAAGTACTGGGCGACTTTGAACTAATGTTTCTTGCGATGATTCAATAGGACTTTGTTTGCCATCAACATCTGAATAAATGAAATCAGGAAAACTCATAGTTGATTCCTCTGATGTTTCTTCGTCATCCGATGATTCAACCAATTCGTTTATATCTTCCGAATTACAATCGCTGTCATATTCAGAATATCCTTGGTCGGCATCGGCAATAAGAGTTTTTGAGTAAATTTCACGAGTCTCGTCTTTTGCCTTCTTAATCCAAGGTGTACGTTGATGAATATCCATCTGGTTCCATTGAAAAACCAACGCCTCTCTGATATTTTCGAGAAGCATTCCCGGGTACAAACGCAACATTCTTTCCGTACCTTCCGCCACGAAAAGTTTGAATGCATTAACGTGAAAATCGTTGAAAATTTCAGTTAATGAGCTGGTAAATGATTCCGTCATTTCGGATTCCTGAGAATATCCTTCATTGTCTGAATCCTCAAATCCGCCGTGAGATAGTTCTGTGCCATTATTATTATTATAATTGTCCTCATTATAATTATTATCATGTATATCGAATGCTGATTCCCCGATTGGAAGCTCATCTAAATACGGATTTGGTTGATACTCTTTTAATTTTAAGGCCAATTCTCTAACGCGTTCAAGATGCAAATTTCTTTCTCTCTACGTAATTACCAGATAGATCAAATGAATCTACAATTAGATAACCGATTATATAAAATACTAAAATATTCCAAAGTTACACAAGTATAGACTATAACGTGGCAAAACTCGTACAACGTATAAATACATGATAACATGTATACATGTATACATGTGTTGGCTTAAAGTTTTCTTTAACTAACCTCATTAAGACATTTCCAATTTAATTCTTTAGCACGTTCTGAATATTGATTTTTCTGCTCCTTTGAAAAAAAAATAATAAAATAAAAAGTGATTAAAAATGTATTCCTTTAAAATGCAAAATAAATACTTACAACGGTTAAAGCATTCCAATTGTTAGCTATATTTTTAGCAACTTCTATAGCCGACATTTGAGGATTTTGACTTAGAAGCATCAACCTTTGTTCATCATTATGAAGCAAATAACCGTACACTGGTTTTTCAATAGTTTCATCATAACTATAAAATGTATGAGATTCCATCCGAGATTATTTCAAAATGTAGAATACAAAAATTGTATGAAAAAAGTAAAGTCAATAACGGGAAAAGATAATTAGGAAAAGGTTGTGCTTATATAATTTTTAAATGATCATAACGCGTCAACAAAATCAGGGAATCGGCAATATATGTATTAAAATCCTTTTATTGAGAAATAGTAATAATGAACTGATTTCTACGCGTTAAATCCATGTCAGGTGATTTACATTTCATGTAACACGAAGAATTTTTATAACGCGCTAATTGCCTACCTCCTATTTTACTATTGTTATTTGATATACAAGGTTTTAATATTTTTTGTATCAAATTATTCTTACCCTGCTTTAATCTTAATAGAAACTTTTATTTAACTATGGTGCTAGAAGTCTATACTTAATAGTTACATGAAGTGTTTAATTTTTTAAATGGTTATAACTTTTTATTAGGGATTGGAACCGGCTAAAATTTTTCTTAATCGTTTAACCGTTTAACCGTTTAATTTGGCCGGCATTAAGATAATTCCGGCCCACAACCAACATAATTCTGTCCGGAATTATGGACAATTTTTAAACGGTTAAACGGTTCCAATCCCTACTTTTTATCTAAAAGATTTAAAAAAAATCTGACTAGTAACTTTATTATTGTAAAAAGTTGTTGTATTTTGAAAATTAAAATTTATATATAAATATTAGGATTTTACTAAAACACACCTATTGTGTTTTACACCTACTGTAAATTCTCAAAATACTCTAAGTGCACGCTCTATTTAAATTCTCTCTAAATGCATGGCATAACTTGGTCCCAACTTATAAGAGCATTATATATTTTGCTTTCTATAAATGCACTTTCTTTTTAAGTGCACGTTTTGCTTTTTTCGACTATAGTTCTGATGGAGTGCATTTAGGGAGGTCTTACTGTAATGGGCATGGGTGTTATTTTGGGTTTTGGCCCAAATTAAGCTTAATTTAGGCCAAATTTCGTAATTTCACCCCTGGGCATTATTTTGAGAATTTACAGTATAAATATATTATCTCAAAAACTGGCTAATTACACATCCCTACAATAAATTACCGGATTTTGATCATGTAATAATGACAATTATTGATCTTTAAACTTCAATTTTTTATTTCTGTAAAAAGAAATACAAAATTTTAAACTAATACTATATAAAATAAGGTTTTTAGTTTTTAATAAAAGTAAAAAAAACTAGTATTTGAAATGTCAGCCTTTAGCTTTAAGAATAGCTTTGACTTGGGTAGGCATACTTAAAATTAGATTACGTAAAACTTCTAAAGGAATTTTTGCCTATTCTTCTTATATAGCCTTAATTAATTCATTTTTTGAGCTGGACAAGAGTTTTTTTTTTCAAACTTAACAATCAATATAATTCTATAGATATTCAATTGAGTTTAAATCTGGACTATATGGAACCCAATCCAGAACTGAAATACTATATGTTTTTATCTATTATTCTGTATATTATGCTATATAATATGAAGCTAAATCTTGTTGAAATATTAAATTTGGATCATTACACATCCACAGCATTAAATGATTTGTAAGAATATTAACATATACATTGGAATTTATATTTCTATCAACTACTATTAATGGTTCAACACTATCCTAACTAAAGCATCCCCAAATATTACAGGCTCACTGTCATATTTAAAAGTAGGTTTAATACAGTTTATATTATATTGTAAGCTTCACCTATTCTTCACTATACTTTTGTATATCCATCAGATCTAAACAAGCAAATCTTGATTCATCTAACCAAATAATATGTTTCTATTCCTTACTCCAACTATGTTTTATTTAGCATCATTTTAATCATTTAATATAATCTTTTTTTTTAAAAAAAAGCTTAAAATGAGCAACATAATCCCTTAAGCCAAGACTATGAAGATAGTTATAAATAGTATTGAAATAGTAAGTTGTATTAAAATTAAAATTGAATTTGTTTGTAACTTTATTAAGAAGTAAAAATCTATTCTTTAAAATGACCTTCTGTAAAAAACATTAATCACAAGATAAAAGAACTTTTGAATGATTAGATTGTTTTTTAGGATGTGAAGAACCAGTTTTTTTATAATGATCAATAGTATCATATATTGTTATATAGGCAATGCTCACTACAGATGATATTTTAGAGCATTTGTACCTGCAAGATAGGCACTAATTATCTGGTCTCTTTGCTCATTTGTCAATTCATTTTCACATATGTTTGGTATGAAAAAAATTAAAAAAAAAAACAGTTTTTATGAATATGGTTAATGATTGTATTTCTATCTATAAAGGGAAACAAAAGGCTTTGAAAATACTTATCTTCGAAATTGATCTTCACTGCATCGACAAAATCTGATAATTTATTGTAAGAGTATATAATTGATGCAAGGTTCTAAGTAAAAATGTTTTATGCTTTCAAAAATACTTTTTAAACTCCAATCCTAATTTTAATATTAATTTTAACATGAAAAAATTGGTGTTAAAATTTTGTATATAAAATTTATAAATCTTAAAAAAATTAAAAAATATAATAAAAATATATAATAGATGCAAAACCACTATAGATACATTTTATAATAATTGTAAAAATTATTATTATTATTAGGATGCTGATATTTATTAGATAATACTGTATTTTAGTGGGTGGGGATAAAGCAAAACTTTATCTCAATATAATACTAAAATTTAATTGGTTAATAAAAATATTACCTAAGAGGAGGGGATAGAGCTCTATAGTAAATGAATATTAGATAATAAATGTCAGAGCTCTTATTATTATTATTATTTTATATTGCC